TAAAAATATATATATATATATTTTTTTTTTCGCGCGCACGAACGAAAAGAGTTAACGACGATTGGTACAAAAAAACTGGTTATAGATCATCGATATACGTAGCTCGAAATCAGTAATTCAAATTATTACGAAACGCGTTCTGGCAACAGCATCGTTGCAAGAGCCAACGATGCAGTCGACGTATTTTTTTTTCCTTTCGTTTTTCATATCTCGCTGCGCGATTCGTCCCTGGAGACACGTCGTCGACGCACGACGGCGAAATAACAAGATCGGAAGCGAATTACGAAGAATACGTCGAAAATCGAACGTCGTGGCAGAATCGAAGAGACGAAAGAATCACGACGTAGCGTAGAAAGTAGATAAATCCGCGAGAAAACGTGGATCGGTTGGATCTAAAATGCGAAAAAAGAAGGACGAGCAAGCCTTTCACGAATAGAGCGCCAGTTGTTTCTTCGTGTCGCATCCTATTACGTTCGGTGGTACGGATCCACGTTTGTTTTCATTTAGACGTAACAGAAGCGAGTTACGTTGTGAAAGCGTTCGCATAACGCTCGGAATAAAACGAGCGCCGGTATGTACGAACGGATGTTAAGTCAGAGCCGTGGATCTGTCCACGGCGGAGAAAGTAAGCCGTTTCCTCTTCCTGGTTCGCGTGCATCGATTTTTCCTCGATACGTTCATTGATAATCCGCGACAACGACACCGGCGTGAAATTTCGCTCCGTTTGTTCCTTTCATCTTTTCGTTCGATCGCCGCCTTGTTTCGTCCAAATTTCCTAAGGGAAAACGTGCAAGCCGAAATACGCGCGCGATTCGCTCAAAGTCACCTCGAACCTCGAGCAACGGAACGTGTCGCTTTCGTCGCGTCTTTCCGTGTAACGTCGTCCGACCCACGAACGATATAACGATCCGCTGGGGGTAGCCACCCACGCGATAATCAAACAGTCAAGAAATTCTACCGAATGTCCAAATCGGACAAATTGCGAATGTAAACGACTAAATAAAAAACAAAAAAAAAAAAAAAACGTCCGACCGACGAGAACAGACTGAACGCGCCGCGTAGTCCGGATCGATCGATAAACGCGCCGCGTCTTCGACGTTTGAAAAATCGTCGAATCTTCGTACCATCGCCTTGGATCTTTCCCGTCTCGCCATTTACGAGTCCACCGGTCGATCCGATGGAACCGTATCTAATGGCACGCGTTGTTTTTACGCGTACACGGCCGAAGCCTCGGGCGATATGGTAAAGTTAGTCTATTGGGAAAACGGCGCATCCCGTAACTATGGAGAACCACGACGCGCGGACGATGACAGAGAAAGTGGTCGGGGATAAAACGACACAGATACCTTCTGATTTTCAATGTATTATTATCAGCACATGATAGTTTCGCATCCATCTCACAAAGTAAGAATCAGACAAAACGTCAACAATCATAAATAAGAAACAAAAAAAAAAAAAAAAAAAAGAGAGAAACGGACGTTACAGGCCGCCGGAGAGCCGCGTTATCCGCGGCGTTCTAAAAGTCAGCTTCTAACGCGTCAAAAGAGCAGTAATTCGTTCGTGTAATATAATTCGTAATACGGAGGCGACTCAACGCGAGTAATCGTTACGATATTAGAAATTATCACAACGTTAATATCTGCCGGGTGTTTTTCGCGCGACTCCTGCATGGAAAAAGAAGGAAAACGACGCTTAAACGAGAATAAGGCCGAACGGTCCAAGGTAAGAGGGGAATAAAGAAAGAATGAAAGAAAGGAAGGAACGCGACAACAATTTTTTACCGCGCGTGGCGTGGCGACCATCGTCGTCGACCGCGTGTCGTCGACCGCGTCGTCCGACGTACGCGCGAGAGAGACGCGCGCCTTTTACCTCGAACTCTGCGGAGAGTCTTGAGAATTTCCACCGGACTTCGGAAGCACAAAGAGCGGCGCGATGCCTGTCGCGTTACAAAAGACCGGACCGGACTAACAAAACGCGTTAGAAACGCCCGTTCCTACGAAAACTGGTTATTCGAATTCGAAGGACTCCTTTTGTTCGCAGGGAAGAACGTGACAGCGCGAAATCGGCCGGTGAAATCACGTACCCCCGCGACGTTCTCGGCCCGACTCAGACCTCCGCATACCTAGGTCTCCGACGCGTATTTCGCGATCGGGACACGAGCCATCCATCGAACGAACCGCTCGATGGTTGGACCATGGACTTCGAGGCGAACGATAACACGCTCGTTTCGCTCGCGTGTCCGGACTCGGCCGGCTGGAATAAATTAAAAGAACATCCACGACGCGAAAGAAGAAGAACGCGAACAGGCAGAACCGCGAAGGGATTTGCGCGGGTAGAACGAAGCGACGCGGCGCGCGGATCGCCGAACGGCGTGCGTCTTTTTAAATAAAAATTTGTCTCCTCGTCGACGTACGTTGAAAAAATAGCGTAGGACGCGCGTCGATCGGCGACTCGCGCCTGTTTCTCTCTGCCGCCTAAAAACGAAATCGGCCAGCTCGCAGCGAGACTCGGGAACAACGCGACGCGACGATCGTAGGAAAATCGGAGAAGAATACCGCGGCGAAGAGCGCGATGGAAAAGAAGCAGGAACGGAATGATCGTAGAGGAGGAAAGATCGCGGGGGGCAACGACGGAGTTACGGGCTCTCGATTAGCAGTTTCGTTCGACGTCGATCAATCGCGCTTACTCGCGTTGGTCGGGCAATTTTTTACACCGTTCGATAGACGATTTGCGTTATCGCGGGAAATAGCAGGTAGAGTGCGACGGAACTCCGACGCGTACAATTATCCAGCGCGTGGTTAAGTAATATTGGTTTTTCCGTTAAGTAATAGGTTACCGCGTCGCTCTGTAACGTCCGTAAAATATCGCCGTTGCAGCGTCCGATCGGATCAAACTGTATCGAGTAATTCACTTTCCGAGCTTACAACTTCGACTTGGCGACTTACACGCGAGCCCGTAATATCCATGACAAAGTAGAAAAAGTAGGGAATCGTGGACAGTGATCGTAGCGATACGCGCGTTAGCGAGAAACAAGCGTAGGCGCGAATACTGTTGGTTCGTTTTATCGAGAACGTCGAAGATATGCAAACTATGAAACGCGAGTCGAGCTAAAATAAAATTGCAGCGCGAGAACGATGAAACGGTTAAAATTAGCCGAGAGCTATCTCGCTCTGGAAGCTCGTATAAAATAGAGACGAGAAACAAAGAGGCTAGACTCTCTTCTTTAGAGCGAAAGCTTTTGATTTTTACGCGCGCGATTGCTACCATCGCGCTTGTCTTAATCGTTACTTTTTCTGCTTCGTTTCTTTGCTCGGTTCGTTAGTCTACTGGCGAAATGGAGCGGCTGGTCGCGAGGCGCCGCACGCGTAGCGAACAAGGAGCAACGTTTCCGTCGTTCTTCTCCTCTTTCTTCTTCTCCTCTGGCCGTCTTCTCGACGGCTTCCTCGTTCCTCCTTGCGTACTGCGATTATTCTCCCGCTGTCTTTCTCTCCGTCTCTCTACGAGTCTCATTCGCGCTCGACGTATTCAGGCACGCTTATGTACGCGAAACGTTGTCGTCTTCTCGCTTCTAGCCGTTGTTCTTCGTAGACGGCGCTCGACGAACATTCGCCGACGCCGTCCGGCGCTCCGGTACGCTGGCAGCAGTTACAGGTAATTCGAGCAGTGATCGAGGGAGAGGACGAACGTATACAACACCAGCCATTTACCTACGTAACGATTACTACCGCTCTATATACAACGAATCGCTAACGCGGTCACCGATCGCACCGGATAACCAAAAAAAAAAAAAAAAAAAAATCAAACTCCGGCTTTCTTCTTCGTCTTTCCTCCTTCCTTTCTTCCTTCCATGCGTTTCTTTCCCCTGTTTTCGCTTCGTATCTCTGGCTTAACGGGACAGCGGAAAAGGTACGAGGACGAGAATACGACAATTATAGAGTAATATCACGGAAAACTGTCCAGCCTCGAAAATTAAATAATGTGGCACTTGATGAATCTCGTTTCTCCGATTCCAAGTGTCTCTCGTACAATGGAATCTCCTCTCGCGACAGCGAGCAGGAAACGACGCTCTTTTCTCTCTCTCTCTCTCTCTCTCTCTCTCTCTCTCGCTCTCTCATACACGCAACATACAAGCACGCATACGCAAACGGCCGCGCGAACGAGTGCAAAAAAAAGAAACAAGAAGAAAAAGAAAGGAGCCGGCATAAAGGCTACAAAGTACAGACCCGTCGCGACAAAATTCAGTTCGCGAGAATATATTAGACGGAAATACGTACTACAAAGTGGAGTTAAATCCATGAATAAAAATAAATACATCATCGAAACACCGACGGAGACGTCCGACGCGGAATCCGTTCGGTTCCAGCGAACCAACTGAACGACAGAACGCTATATATTTGTATATCTATATCTATATATATATATATATATATATCTATATATATATACACACACACGCACACATACACATATATAGATATACATATGTGCGTGTATATATATATGAACATACGTACATACGAAACGCTTGTACCTTAAACGATAGAAAAACTCGACGAAAAGAAAAAGTATAGCCGAAACGAATCGTTCGAAAATGTTTTTGTACGTTAGCGCGCGTGCAGCGGATCTACGCTCGCGAGACTCGCGCCTTTTCTCTTACTTTATTTTTTAAACGTTGCCCGACGTCGAGTATCCCTCTCGAGGATCGAAACGAACGCGCGTGATTTCGGTCGTGGTTTTACAATATACTGCGCGGTCGTCTACGCGAACGACAAAGGAACCGTGAACACAGGTAGCAAAAAAGAGAAGCGTTAGTGCACGCGCATTGTTCGACGCTACTCGACATCGAACGGTTAAAACGTTACGCATTGAGCGCCGATCGCGTTTCGTCGTATTTTCCTCTTTCTTTGTCTCTCTGTCCGTCCGTCCGTCTGTCTCTCTCTCTCTCTTTTTCCTTCTTCTCGCACATCGATGCGCGCTCTCTGACGCGCTATCATCTCCGATCTCTGTCTTCGTTCAATTACGAGAACAACGCTTTCCGATTTCCTCTCGAAGCACGGTCGACGAGAAGAAAATTGAAAAATAAAAGAAAGGAAAAGAAGAAAGGAAAAAGAGGAATCATTTTGTATTGTGCTTCGACTTGGCGGAAGAGAATACGCGTCGCGTGGTCGACGAGTTGCGTGCACCCGTGCCGGCCGGTTTTCATCGACCAAGCGTCCTGTACGACTCGAAGCGTTTCGTCCCGTTTCGATTACCACGGACCGCGAAATTAGTCGCATAAATTTAGATTCGACATATAAAAAGAAAGATTTAGCAAGGTTTGAGCGCAAAGGACGATCGATCTGGTTACCGGTACGACGTACGAGAAGCGTAAAGCGCCGAACGCCGATAGGGCGGATAGGCGACCGAAACGAATAATTTAGATAGGAGATGCAGGTGCACCGGCGTTAGTCCATCGTCGCCGCGTTCACCGTCCTCTCGACGATTCCCTCGTCCAGCTTCGTTGTCCTCGCAACTACCGGGGCTCGTAGGCCTCGTAGACGAGCTCTGGCACCAGGGCCAGCGAAAACGTAGCGCTGGCCTGTCTCGCGTACTGTCTTCTCGCCGCCATAGCTTCGTGTTACCTATTATTCTCTTCCATCACCACCTGCTTGAACACACCCGCGGGCATCTGACTTTTGATCTCGTGGCTACCGAGCGCGGTCGTCCCGTCTTTCGCTATGAATAGCTGGAGTCCGGTTGCTGCGAACATCGATAATCGGAAACATTAGACGCAACGCATTAGACGTACGACGTTAAGAAAAGAAAAAAATAAAGTAGTCGATAGCTTTTTTCTCCGTAGACGCGATTACGCGCTGTTTGTATCGCGTCTCGTTGACGTCGAAAAACAAATTACGTTTAATCGACCACTTATAACTTTTTATATCGCGTCTCAACGAGACCGTTCGTATTCGTCGATGAAAGGGAAAGAACGGGCTCGAGTACGAAATAGAACAGAGGGTGTACAGCGACGTACTCTCGGAACTCTCGAGATCCGTCTGCTCCAAGTTCGTTGCCTTGATCAGTTCGTCGATCAGGGAATCCGGGTTTGGCCTGGTCACTTCGACCCTGCACAGGATGGGATTTCCCGCGCCGTCTTCCGCTTTTTTCCTACGCTCCAACGCCGCCTTTGCTCGGTCCAGAGATCCCGTTTCGCTGAGACCGGAACCACCGGAAGGATTTCTAGGGAACAAACGAATCCACGATTACCATACACCGTTTTTCTCTTCCTTCTCGATCTTCCAATTTCTACCGTTTCGAGCACTGGCACGGAATAGTGCACGCGTCTCTTCTTTCCGTTTCCTCTTGGATTTTCCAAGAAGCAAATCGCCGCAAAGGACATGGTCGTTGGTCGAACGAACGACAAAAAAGAGGGGGAAAAAAAAAAGGAAGAAAACACGAACATGTGGCCATGAAACGTATCGAGACAAAGTTGATAAATATTTATCGTTGCTCCTAAGAAACGCGGTCCTTGGGTCTTTACAATTTTACGACAGCGTCGGCTTTCGCGTAACGACGATTCCGTGCCAGCGCTCGTCTTCCTCGCGGGATAATTGGGCGCGAATGATTTCCACGACCACGCCTCGTGCAAAAACATCGTCGCGTTCGATACAAAGATCAAGGAACACGCTGTTTTGTCGCTATCGACGCTAACGAAACAAAAGCAAAGGTCAATAAGCGAGTGGTCGGTTCTCGAAGGCGTCTCGTAACGATCGAATACGGTAGACGTTTTGGGACGAGGCTGAGATAGATGAGAGCAAGCGAAACAGGAAGGTGTGTGTCAAGCGGCGAGATTGCTAATTTTTCTGATCGAATATGTGCCAAGGCGAGTATGCTGGGTTCGCATGCAACGAGCCAACCGTCACCAGATCGACGTTACGTTACGAGTGGAACCGGCGAATCGAGCCAGCCCTGTCCAAATTCGCCGCTCTTACGCCGTCTTTGCTTTTCGCCGAAGTAACTTGCAAAAGCGACCGGAGTAGTTGACAAATTCACCGCTCGGTATAAATCTTATAGACGTGACATATTAAATATTCTAAATGTCAGAGATTTGTTACAAGGTGAAATCTGGTTACGGACAGATCCGAGTTACGCAAGTGCTCGACTCTTCGCGCTTGCACTTTTTCCTCGGCAAAACTTCGAAATATCGTAATTGTGGCGAAAGAAAACGAATGGCCGATAGTTTCGCGCGAGATATGTAACTCGAGCGGTTCTTTCCATCGCGGAAAAAGCGATCGATCGATCGGGATTAATAGGCGACTTTATCTTGGTCTAATGAAATTACGCTTTTATATCGTTCACAACTGATAAAAAATATGCGTGCAAAAAAGTGATTACAAGTATCGGTAGCGTGGAATCGATCGAGAAACCATTTTCTCGATCGAAGCGCAACGGATAGAGAGAGAGAGAGAGAGCAACGCGTTCGGAACTTGCCAAAGCTCGTTCGCTTTTTAAATTCGATCGAATTTAAGAAATATTCTCGGATAATTTTTCTAATAGTTCTAGAAGTTTCGCATACGGACACGTGGAGACATCGACGTAATACGTTTGCATATATTTCTACGCAGTCATTCAACGTCGATCGTGAAAACGTAAAAAATTCAACCAGACTGTCAGCTTGGCGTTTTTTTTTTTTTCTGTAACGATTGAATTAAACTCATTAAGTATCGCATAAATCGAGTTTACGTAATTGTTTTCCTCGTATTCGTCCGGAATCTCGCTGAATCATGACTTTATGAAGAAGTACGTGACACTGGTATGTCATTTTGTACGTTTAGCCCGCTCCTTTGTGGAACAGCGGCTAAAACATCGTAATTCCGATACTCGAAACACGCTTCGACTTTCGCAACCTCGTCGCGGAACGAAGGACGGGCACGCCAGTTCCGATTCCGACTCGGGCGTCGTCTGTATCCACGTGTCCGCGAGTCGCGACGAAAGTGCAAAGCGAGAAAGAGAGAGAGAGAGAGAAAGACAATACATACAGAGACCAGACAAAATGAGAAAAGAAAAGAAAAACGAAGAGAATTAAGACGAAAGCATGGACTGACGGTGGGGTTATGCTGTTTCGGTGCTGGGAGCTCGGTGGAGCGACTTCCGGTACCCCTAAGGAGGACTCTTCGGAGTCCGCTGGGCTGGTGGCGACCGTAGCCAGCTTGCCCCCCGCCCCGTCCAGCAACTTCCGGTGACTTCCGCCAATACCCCTGCAAGGATTCACAAAGCCATCCAAACTGCAAGGAAAGCTACACCTCCTCTCATCCTTCGTTCAAGTTACTCGCTTCGTTCCCCTATTTTCTTTCGTTTCCCCTTTTTCCCTGTACACCCGTTCCACCTCCTCGGTGTCTCTTCGATGCACGTCGCGCACGCTTCCACGGTCGCAGCTGCCTTTTCTTCGAAAATCGTTCGTCGTCCGACCGATTGCGTCGTCGGTTTCGTCGTAGCTGTCGTTTGAAACGAGTCGAGAGTAGCCCGTCGATCGTGGAAGCGTTCGACGAAATACACGTTCGACGCAGCTTGTCGAAATTGCTCGATCGCTCGAGATCGTCGTGTTTGCTTTATCAACGGATCGTTTATGACGTTTTCCAACCATCGTCTATCGCGCAACTGTATCCGACGCATCGGATACGTGAGTCGTTATCCATCTTTCGGCCGACCGACGTTCTTCGTTCTCTGGAATTAGTAAACACCGAAAAGCAGAAATTTCGAAGCAAACGGTCCCTTCGAGCGCGTTCAACGAAACGCTGTTCCAACATCCTCCTTCTAGCACGTACGTCGTGTTCAGGTACAGTCGCGCCTTCCGTAAACTTTTACGCGCGAGAGATCAGAGAGAACGTCTTACGATTATACGATACTAAAGTCGCGGTTAACGAACAGGCTCGTTCGAATCGAATCGTCGAATTTTAGCATCCGTAGAGGGAAACTCGGGCGATCGAGGAAGCAAAGCGAAAGCCGGTGTCGCAGCGAGTGTATCTAACGTGTTTGTCCGATGCCTCGTCGATAACGATGTTAAAAATCCTATGGATCGGAATGCCTGTGACGTTGAGTGTCGTTAATTTCGAGCATCGTTTCGAGGAAACGTAACGATAGAATAGGAAAAATATTGCCGAGAAAAAAGAACCTAACGCGTATACGTTAAAAATACGCGACCAGAGTTTACGTAAAAATATAATTACGATAAATTATAAAAAGAACAAAAAAAACTGACGCGTGTGCTCGTGACCGAAAAAATTAAGAAAAACGCAGGGAGAAAAGAACCGCCAGTTCTTGTTCCGTAACCCGAGATGCTACGACGTACGATTCGGATTTCGACGAGTCGCGTCAACTTTTAAACGAACGATATCTAACGCCAGACATCGTCGATTCAAAAGAACGTACTCGTCCATCCAGAAATCGAGTTGACCCGCTCGACGACTACCGCGGGTTGCTCGCGCGAAACCTATCGAACTACGCTACGCCGGTTAAACGCAGAAGAACGAGCAGAGGGAGTGACAAAACGCAGATCGAACGCAGAAAATCATCGAACGGAAGGACAGGGGGATTTAATTAAAAACAATTATAAGAGAGAAAGTCGCTGATGAATGAAACCTACCTGAGGGTCTGAGCGGTCGTCGCGGAACGTAGCGAGGCTCTGGGGTTATCGGGCCTATGAAGGGGATCGGGAGAGGATACGGCTCTGGCCTGGTCAGCTAACCGCAAAACCGGGCTGATCTTGCCTTTCTCGATGCAGTCGCAGGTTTTCGAGATACCTCTCCAACCTGGATGACCGATTCTCGGTTTCGCGGTCGGCACGATCACGCTGTTCCATCGATCGTTCCGATCGTCCGTCGGCGAATTCATCGCGTTACGTTCGTTTCGCGCGTCGAAGCTATTCCTCTCGACGTTTTTTCGCAAGTGCCGCGGAACGTCCTGTGGTCCAGGCACTTTGAACACGCCAGCGTCGTTACCGACGGTTTCGTTAAGGCGACTGTTGTCGCTCGAAGCGACGCCGTTCTTCCATCGATTCGTTTCGCTTTGGTCGTTCGATAGAGGAACGGCTGCTATGCTCGATCTTAGAGGATTGCGCGCGATCGATTTTCCCTCGCGCGACGAAAG